CCTCTCGATGCTTTGCTTTGAGTGCTAACAGAGAGCACGACGGCTGCGAAACGGAATTACTTCCCTGAAAGTTATTTTGCCTTACACTGTTAGTATCTGATAACATTTACTAACCTTTTCAGCTAAGACTCGATACCACCGAAGCAATCAAGATCTTCAGTGCTCTGAAAAATCACTGCTAAGTGTCTGCTGAATCAGCCTTGGCAGAGCTTAGCAGGTAATGGTCCCACGAAAACAGGGTCATGGAACAGCTTCACCAAAATGCAACCATAACAGGAGAGCCGTGCTACCACCAACTCTGCATTTTTTTGTTTTATCGTGGCTTTAAATATACAAGAATTTCAACCAAGTACCTTTAAGAGTTTGACTGTCTCAAGGGGTTTGCTTTAAGCAGCCCACCCTGGAATTTCTCCTTAAATATTTCTTAGTTATGAAAAGCAAGAAACATCGTTTTCCTGGGACAAGCGAGTTCCCACAGCATGGTGGAGAATACAGATACAGTGTTTGGCATTTCAAAGAAACTGTGTAATCGAAGTACTAAAACACAAACACGCAGAAATTTAAGCCCTGAAAAAATGCCCATCTATTTTTATGAACAACAGCCTATGGAACCATTTCTGAATAGGACTGCAAACATTAAATACAATTCTGTCCATTAATTATAACATATGTCAGACTATATAGTTCAAAGACATGTTATCAAATTAAAAAAAAAAAAAAGCGGGAGATGAAGAACTTTCTAAAATTAATTTTGTTTCCTCTGTATTTTTTCCATTTTAACAGCATTTTTCAGGATAGGAGCAGCTCAAACACAAAACAGAGCTGAACAACAAACAACGGTGGTACAGCCTTCTACTGTCTGTACTCCGAAGAATAATTTAATACACTCAAACGAAGAAAGTTTTCCTCATGTGGATAAGCGAGGCTGATCTTTCGCAGTTCTCTTAACAGATGTACTGGCCTTGATGTCCCCTTTCAAGTTTATTCTTTTCTAAATCAAGACACTGAGGTTTCTTGCGGACATATGGTGTACGGACATTACAGACGCTATTTTTCTTTGCAAATGTGCTAGGATCTTCTGACCTCAGGTCATACTGGCAAGACGTTACCATCTGCCTATTCCTGTTCGATGATCAAAAAGGAGCATTTCTGGCTCTCCTACTACATCAAAACACCGAAGGTAGTTAGAATATTGTACTGCTTGCAGTTGGCACTCTCGCTGTATCTCACTTGACCTTGAAACTCTGTCCAAAGTAGTAAAAACAGCAATCAAACTGGGGGTGGAGGAGCGGGTATGTCACAGGACTGAAAGCATGGCTTAGAAAAATCCAACAGTGGGTTTATCATCAGAGGTGCAAGTTAGCCCCTATGTCCTCTAACCTTCCCTTAGTTACCTTCAATTTCCAAATAACCTCAGTGCACAAACATTGTGGGGGAAATCAGCAGAAATAACATTGATGTGACTCAAAAGAGTGTTTCAATACAGTGGCACATACATAGCATCTGTGTCCACCGAATGCTGCACAGGATTTCTGGTATCTTCTAGAAACAAAGTGTGAGAGAAAGTTTGAATGCAAAGGCCAGCTAAACCAAAACTGAATCAGAACTTTTCTACAAACTACTAGACTGTTGCTCTCAGATGCAGCAAATATTTCCATTTTTAATTATGTGAAGATTATAGACGCGTTTTTGTTTTGTTCACAGATAAAACTTCCTCAGGAGGACAAAACTATTGAAGCTTTGTCAAAATCCCATTCTACAGCAGAAGATAGCAGCCAGTAGCACGCCTTCTCAAAAAACATTGGAATAGAAAAAGCATTATGCAAATGCAGGGATTACTCCAACAAGTTTCAGTGGAACAACGCGTTTCTGCATCTCACTTTTGTAGAGACGCCTTCAGTTTATAATTTCTTTAGTCATTTTTTTTTAATAGAAGAAGAAAAAAAACAACCCGGTATTTGAAACAGTTACTAAACCTACCTCTGACTCCTAGTGAGATTTTCATTCAGCTTCTTTCCCAAGATTCTCAGGCCCCTCAGCTTGTGGAATACAAGCACAACAGGGTTGCTGTACCCCTAACTTGGCCACTTTAGCCTCTGGCACTTAAATCCATCACATGAGACGAAGGCTTAACCGGCTATGAGAAGTCACTAACCCAAAGTGCTGTAAATGCATCACGCAAATTAACAAGAAACTGTTTTATTCCAACCAGTTGTCACAACAGCAGTATCCACAAACTTTCCAAAAGAAGTCTTTCCCCCCCAAGTAGCAGAGTCCCTTTCATAAATTAAAGAACACTTGTCACTCACCATAGCATCACCATCAGGTGTGCTTCATCTATACCTACAAATAGACAACTCGAAAAGGATGAAACACTTTCCCAGACTTTAAACTGAACATATCTAAGGCAGAAATGAGAAACTTGTACAATGTTTAAAAAGTAACTTCCCTGTATTTTGTATTTAGCTGTATAATAATGTCTGCCCAGGTTTCAAACAATCTGACCCAAGTTCAGTATTTTCTTAATAAACAATCACAAAAGATTCACCTTAAGAAGCAAGGGAAAGAAAACAAAAGACTTCCATAAAGCACAGTACCTCTCTATCTGCACCATGTCCTTCAATAAATCTGTATTGCATCTAGCTCAGCAAATCAAAATTAAACCAAAAGAAATACCAATAGAAACCTCTTACCATGTTCGACGAAGACATTACAGTGTGGGCCCCCATGCCTCGATGACTCCTTCTTCCCTGCTCCTTTGATAAAATGCAGGGCAGGCAGACTTGGCCTCCTTTGGTCCCCAAGAACTTTTCCAGGCTGCTGCCCCATAAAGTAACTGTGGGCAGCCTTTCCCAGGACGAGAAGCTTTTGAAGGAGTCTGTGATCCCTGATCCTCCAGGTTGGGAAGGAGCTTTGAAGGAGAGTGTATTTTAGGTGGGTGCGTTGGTTGCACTTGCTGCGTGATAAAAGTCACTTGAGGTGAAGAATTAAGACAAGCGCAGATACCTCCAATGCTTTTGAAGATGGCAACAAGGCTCCTTAGGTGACTTCATGAAAAAAAACAACAACAAAGAGTACAAGTTCCAACCGCTTAGTAATGACCAAGCACTACCAAAGTTTCAGGTTGCCATATGTAGCATGTCTTCCACCGGGTAAAGGAGAATCAGTTCGTCTCACAAGAAACCACGTGTAGGCTCACCCAGGGCAGGAGACAGCCATTCCCACTGCAACCAATGTCAAGGTTTCTTTTTTTTCCTCCTTTTCTTTTGCATAGCATTGAGTTAGCAAAGGCCAAGGAGCCACGTATTTGGCTTCAAGTATCGTCGAAGTCTAGCAGGATCAAGTACGCTGAAACCATGTCAGCTCGCAGGGCGAAGCAGAGGCAGCTCTGGGCCTGGTAGGCTCCACACGCTCCTTGGGGCGAGGGGACGGGACGGGGGGCTCCTGTGGTCCGGCCTCACAACGCCTCGCCTTCTCCCATCGCAAGCCTCGGGCTGCCCAC